AAAAAAAAAAAAAAAAAAAAAAAAAAAAAAAAAAAAAAAAAAGAAAGAAAATTAGAGAGAAAACACACCCTGCAATAAACTTCATAATATTCCATTATCTCCTTCCCAAGTTTTTATCGATGGAACTGATAAAGCTGAAAAACCGTTAAAATTCAAAGTAAATTCGGACTCAACTCGGTATTTTTTTCTCGCCCTTTTCTCTGTTGAAATGAATGAATCGACACATCATATGAACATACATCCGGGGTCCATCTATGTCTGGTCATTAACTAAATGTTCAAAAATAAACATTACACCATGAATCATTAGTGTTAACAACTTTTGACTTCTAGTGACCTCTGCGAACTATTCCGTCTTCGCGCATGCGCGAATTTCCCTACTAATGACATTTTAAATCCAGACATTTTAACAAAGTTAGAATGTGAAATCTCTTTTTATAAACTATTCCGTTATTGATTTAATGTGTTTTTGTGGCATAATAAATGAGTGTATTTTTTTCTTATTTATTGAATGCTCGAAAAGAATGAAAACCGGCGAGAATTCTTTGCTACGATACAGAATTGCCCGTGGGACATTTCAACAGATTCCATTGGAAACTACTTATCTTTAAGTAGAATATCATTTGGACTAATAATGAAACATGACTGATAATTGTTCTTGTTCATAACTTGTTCATAAATTGAGAAAAATGCTTAACGAATSATCGAAAATCTATTTTGCATCTCATCGACTGACATGAGCGAGAACTATTTTCTTCGCTATAGGTCATCCTGCACGATTTCAGTGTTCGTAATAAAATATCTTCGCTTAGGAACTTTTAGAACAGGATAAATAACGATTCGATTTAAAAATGAATGATTCGGRAAAAAAAGGTTCTTATCAGGTTCATTTTTGGCCGCCATTAACTTCTTTTAATATGATAATCTTGGTGTATCCTAACCGGGGAAATGATATCTCTCAAGGCGAACGTCGAAATGCAACAAAACTCAAGTTCTAAATTATTGCCCTTGTACTGATGAAGTTCTATTTCCAGATCAGAGCAAAATGATCCGGTGTTTTCACCAAATATTCGTTTATTTTTTAATGTAATTATTTATTTTTTATTTGAATTGTAAGTTGAAGTACACTGAAAATTAGTGCTGTATAGATCATCATACTGATGAAAATCTCTCTCCAAAGCACATCCGACTGGAAGACGTGGGTTCCTTTTCCTGCCAAGGGCATTTGATATTTTTTCTTATTCTCTCTATCTCTACAAAACAGAATGATTTTCCCCGATATTAGTTTTAAGAGAAACATTTATTGTTTTGTTGAATGAATTAAAATAGAAATTTTGCAACTTTGAATTAATCTAAAAAGTATTGGTATTTTTTGTTGGATTATAACTAGCCATGAGCAAAGTTTTTGTTGGTCTCATTAGGATATATTTTTCATTCAGTTAATCCATTAAAGTTCATTCATTTAATGAGTTCCAAACGAATGCATTCGTAAATTAACCTGCTTTCACCTCTGTTATATTTCATTATTTATTTATCAATTATATGATATTTATTTAGTCGTTGCTGTTGTTTTTCGGGCTAGTTATGAAGGATTAAGAAGATCTTAAAACTGTCTTTAATTAGACATGTTTTTGTGCAGTTTTTGGCCTTCATTTGTAACTATTCCAGATTTCCTCACTCCATTCTATTTAACTTTCTTGTCTTTAAAAAATATTTAAATATTTACTTATTTAATTTACAAGCCTTGTTGTGAAATTTATTGTATTTTTTCCTCATCAAGAATCTATCACATAAAGATTGAAATTCTCGAGTAAGGAACTTTAGTGTCGATAAAGTATATGGACAACAAGACACGTTATTTATTCTAGTATTTGGTGTATGACTTAGCTTGAGTTGATTTTCATGATCAAGCAAACAGATAAAGTAGATTGAAAATGAAGCCTCATGCCTGAAGCAAGTTTCAGTCTTACCACTCCTTTTCCTTCGAATTTTATTAATCTTTCATTAATAGCTCTACAAGTCATGGAAGCGATCTTATATCAAAGCCTAGCATGTAATGTACGACAGACTATCTCATTATTGATCACTCATTAGTTTATTTAATAATGATGATGGATATCGATAACTCACGCGTAATTTGAAAGTGCTTCGGAACATAGATATTGCGTCTCTGATAAAGAGAACTCATTTCGCCATCTTTACAGAAGTGCGATTGTAGATCAGATTATCGTAAATGTTCTTATTTTTTCGTGAAAATAACTAAGGTAAAGTTAAAGTAACTAGATTTAACGTTGGGGCTGAGTTCTTTCCGCTGTAAATGAGAAGCCGATGGTACGAATCTTACACCGCTCTCCGTTTTAAAAATATTTTAAAGCCAAAAATACAGGAATTAGAAAGAAGTCAAAAAAAGAGTCTAATAACACGAGGTAATGAACTACAGACTTTTCGCAATGCCGCAATTTAGTTCTCTCTACGCATGCGGGTATTAATACCTTATCAGGTAGCGTTGAGCTTGCATTAAAATGGACACTTTTCTGTATCAAAAAKATTTTTTTAGGGCTTTTATTGTCAAGAACGACTGCGTATTTATATAGGCATGATTTCTGCTGGTCTCTAAGACATAGTTCGTCGTCGCCGGGAATATCACGTACCGAAAATGGAGTCAGAATTAGTTTTATGTAAAGTTCTATCGGTCATTCGGAACCCGATTGACTTCGACAGTTATCACAGCTCGGTCGAATATTTGACTTATCTGATCGATTATTTGGGAGAATTTTGTGATGAATGATATTAATTCCAAAATATGAATTTCAAATGTTAACTGCGAGTGATGAATGGTTTGCGAGGAATGTTAAATTAGGCACCCGGAGAAATGAGACGCTAGTCTACACCTAAAGGGATTGAAAAGCCCAATCAAGAGTCATTAGCTTTTGAGTGTATTTTTAGTTAAAATATATATAACTAAAGGGCTTTAATTACTACAAATTTAGGTAATTAAGAGCTTACGATCCAGACATCGGCGTTTCATATGTATCCAGTTCGTGTCATTCTACCGACGTAGCTTACTGATCATTGCTAAATGTAAAGGTTTATTTATTGGAGTCAAGTTAAATGAAAGGAAATAGAGCTGGGATGTTTTGAAAAACTCGTTTATCAGATTAAACAGTAACTACCGAAACAATACAAAAATAGCTTTTAAGAAATACTATGTTGAGGAGACTTTAAACAATCTAGAATTAAGTTCGACGTTTGACCTTGGTCTTACTAACACTTTTTCTAAAGCGATAACTTTGAACAATTATGGCCTAATTTCTGATACAAAACAATGTTGTAACTTTTCGACCAATCACAGCGCGCGTAGCACTTATTCAAAATATCTTTACAGATCTCAACCCACCAGCAGTTGTTAGTTAATATGATTTGTTAATCTCGTTAATCTATTAGTATATTTAATTTTATCGATGTTTTTATTTAAGAGTGGTGATTGTTTTCTATATCAACACGGCAGTTCCATGCCTATCGGCATCTCTTGATCAGTAAAACCAATCTATAGATCGATCAAGAAAGAAATGAATTAAAGCCGATTTGGATAAAAGTTATAGTGGATTAAAATTTTGCAGTTAAGTATACTTTACGAGTACATCTTTTGAACTTACTAAATCAAACTTGGGTAGCTGACGAAGACTCAGGTCAAACGTCGAACTTCACATGAGCCGAACCTAATTGAAACGATGGATAACAAGGTGTTCTTCCTTGATGTCATTAGGTTCGGCTTGTGTGAATTTCGACGTTTGACATACACGCACGTTATTTAGAAAACAAAAAGCTACTTTTGATCAGCTCCCCTGCATTTGGTCACTTGTTTTCTCTAGCTTTTTTATACAATATTATATAAAATAGAGTATTACGAAAAAAATTCTTCTTCTGTAGTTGAATTCGTAGTGTATCTTCCGGCAAAGAAAAAAAAAAGGGCCACAGAACCAGGGAGTGATCGTTTTCAGCGTTGTTGATAAAGAAAAAAATACTGCTAAAGAAAATGGCACGTAGTTTGAAATATCAAAAATAACACTCGGAGCAAGAGAGAGTATATTTTTAGCAAGTCGTTTGGTTTTGCTCCATGAAGATAATCTTGTTAATCATTTCCTGTTAATTTTTAATTGAACCTTTAGAAAAAATTAAGTCAAATCAAAAGATATAAAAAGATAACACGAAGAAACTTATAGCTATGTAACACTAAACTATCACTAATAGAATAGGGCATCAACGTATCCTCTTTTATTCGATTTCAAATTCTTATCCTTACCAAATAACTCCCTTTTCTGTGCCCAATACTCCGTTTTACAGTTCCGTTCCAAGCCGAGCCTGGAGTTTCCGCGCATGATAAAAAGTATAGTTTTGCTATGCGCGGAAACTGCAGCCTCGACTTGCAATTATTATTCATAGTCACTCTAACGGAACCGTAAAAATAGAGTATTGGCAAATGGCAATTGTTTCATCAACAGATGAGGCTTGATATTCGCCGTAAACGTTCAGTGATACTATCGAAATATACAGTATTATGCAGACAAAGAACCGACAAAGAAACAGTTTCTATGAATGGTATATATGAGAAATTTGCCTGAAAATGGACTGAAAGTTTTAAAGTATTTTTTAAATTAAAATACTATGTAATTCTTCTGATTTTTATAAATTGTAATCCTTGTGATTTTTTAAATGTGAATTAAAAATGTCAACGACAAAAAAGAAAGAAACCGACACACGTTTTGCTGTTAAATTTTAAGATATTTTGTTTATCGCATGGTCACGTGGTCAAGGATTTGACAGTGTCTTGCATTGAAGTGGCTTTTTGACGTCTACAATTGGTATTATTTATTATTCTGATAAAAAGACGACAAGTATTAATCTTTCTTACACTATGAAGACTAATACCTGTCTACAGAAAGAAGACTACTCAAACTCACGTCAAACATATTTGACAGCTTTCACTGAGTAAGAAGGAAGCCATTTAAGTGCCGAGAACATTTTGATGACAGTTGAACAATACTACGACTTATACAATTTATTTAAGTTAGTTACATTTTCCTTTAAGATAATAAAAATGTTATAAACTTAAATGTTTTTAAGGAGTAGTCTTCCTTTTTATTTTAACTTCTTTTATTGTGTTTACTTTGCAGTTTTTTATCGTCTTAAAAATCATGTTACTAACATTAACCCGTGATCTAATTTAAAATCGCATTATCCGGAATGGAATTTCTTGTCAAGGAAATGGTGTCAGCGTCTGGTTCTAAGACAATGACGGCAGCGGCGACCGCTGTCAACTGAAGCCCTATGCCACGCATGCTCAGAAAAGCGGGGAAAGTAAAGTGGAAGAATAATATACATGTAGCTATGTCTAATTAGTTTTTCTTGATCTGTATAATAACGAATAATAATAATAATAATAATAATAATACAATATTATTACAATAAGGAATATTGTTGTTGATAATATCCATGAGAAGCGTGGCTGTCGTAGTAATGAAAGTGCGCACCTGTTTCCTTCGTTGGTTTCCTAACTAGGGGTGTGTGAGAGAATAGACCTAATACACTGTTTTCTCATTTCAGACCAATAGCCCACCTCCGATATATGCTTCGCTTGTCACGCACAAAGGTTTCAGTATGAGGCTACGTGCTAAATTAAATTTATTCTTACCGTCTGTCACGAATGACTGAGCATTTAGCACGTAGCCTCATACTGAAACCTTTGTGCATGACAAGCGAAGCATATTTCAGAAGTGGGCTATTGTCATTCCCTAGAGTAGAGAAGACACATGAATATGGATACAACTCAAAGAAAGATTCATATTCTAATGAGTGACACTTGGTCTGAAATGGGCAAACTGCATTACGCCCAAGGACACTAGAAAAAACGTGTGCATTTCAGCACGTTTTCTAAGAATTTAAAAGAGTTTGAGTGAGAAAATGAATGTTTGTTTTCTCCGAGTATACAAAAGATTTCGCGAGTATACTTTTGTCAGACCAAGATTCTGTATTAACAAACACAATATGAAAGAATTAGCCTGAAGTTACAAGCATGTACACTAAGTTGTTCTTTTTTTTTAAAGTCCTTTTATTAACGTATTTTTACGATAGCATGAAGAAGTTTTGACTTATTTGCATACTGATTTAGAGCATGCGCAGACGAGTTCCACTCGTGTCTCGCCCAAGTGGTTTTGGTCCATTGTGTTGACTTTCGTTATTCTCCACCGAGTTTCGGGCAAGAAGTTTGTATAATTCTCCTTTAACCAGTTTTAGCTAGTTTTAATACTTCATTAAAAAGTCAAGTCTATCTACACAATCAACCCCCCAGGTAGAAGTCATTAATGCCAGGATATGACAAACAACTTTCTCTATTGCTTTCCCTCTTTCTCATCGTTCAAGGCCCAATTGACAAACAAGAAGGAAAATTGATTCGCTGCGAGCAAAGGTTGTATTTCCCCTTCGTAGGGCTGAGCGGCAGACTGGTCGGGGGGAAAAAGTCTTTTTCCCCCGACCCAAAGCCATGCAGAACGGGTACTGAATTGATTGAGTATATAATAACTCATCTTTAACAGAGTGCTGCAATTTTTTCCTAATAAATCCTACCGTGAACTTTATCACTAACCAACCAATTTCGTTATCAGACAATTTATCTTCAAGAGAGGCAAGATAACACATGCATTTCATCATTTTTAGTAAAATATGGAAAGGAGTGATTTATTGAAGTCTCATCTTTGGAATTGTTTTTTCAATATTAGGCATGTATAAAGGTAAAAGTGATAGAATAGTAAATATCTTATCATATTGAATGAGAGAGCAGTTCGTTTGCTCATTATCGTGACGTTATAACCATTAAATTCGTGGAAAAAGCTTCACTGCCCTTTACTAATATGATATGTTTTTCATATCGATTAGAGAGCTACAACAGCTGCACACGCCTGTCGTCTAGAAATTTATTATTTGTGAATGAGGAGRAATTGGCGATTTCTCAAGTTCGTATATGAGTTTGCCGATTGTCTAATATTCTATTAGGTCAATGTTTATGGCATGGGGGATAGAGCAAAGGCAGGGGGAGGGGGAGGGGAGAATGGTCTTTAGACAAATGGAAGGGGATCAAAGAGGAGGACTGACACAACAACGAGAACGTAGCAATCACTAGTAGAGGTATCATAAAAAAGACGTCGAGGTGGGGGTTGGGGCGTGGGTTGGAAATCAGTCAATCATTTTGACTTCGCAACAAAGTGATCTTCCGCGCCCCACAGGCAATAGATAGTGACTGGTCCCTAAGACAGAAGAGGTTMATTTTCTTTTCTTTTGATAATGTTGAATAATTTGTATTATAAACCAAAACGTTTCTTTAAAAGATTATATTACAAAACTTAAAATTACGCAATGACTTCAGTGACGTCATACAGAAAAGTTATGACGTTATACTGAGTTTGCAGTTTTAATTATCTGCCCTTTTGTTGGCTTCCAAATAGAGCTAGAAAACACCTTGTTTTAGCTAGAATTCTTTTCGAAACTGTTCGAGTYTTTTTTTAAAGATTTGTTCTCGTAGCGGGCAAGCTGCAAACTAGTTGTTACGGTATTAGCAGTGTACGATGATGAAAGATAGGTGAGAGGTTGATCAGAGAGACACAGAATAAAAAAGGGCAAGGAAGACGGGAAAAAAAGAAAAGAAAAGAAAATGAAAGAAAATGGACAAATGGAGAGAAGACCAAGAGAACGGATGGATGGATGGATGGATGGATGGATGGATGGANATGGATGGATGGATGGATGGATGGATGGATGGATGGATGGATGGATGGATGGATGGATGGATGGATGGATGGATGGATGGATGGATGGATGGATGGATGAAGCGAAGAAAAAAGTGAAAGGAAAAAGGATAGAAAGAAAATTAAAGAAAAAAGAAACAAAAAAAGAAAAAAAGAAAATAGCGAATTGAACCGGGAAAAAAGCAGCTGAATGAATGAAATACCGTTTACTTAGCTCACACTCATAACCACAGGCTAATGGATGATCTCTATTAACCTTTTTTTTTTTTACAATGAAACACTCTAAGTGAGTAGAATCTCATCTCGGGGTTGATTTACCCTCTGGGCAGCCCGTAATGCCTTGCTAAAAGACACATCGTTAAATGCGGCTACCACATACATTACTAGACTGAAAAGTGAGTTAATTTGAAAAAAATACGAAAATCGAGCACTATTGTTTCGGAAATGCCATAGATCGAGTGATGAGGTTCTATGCGTGTTATTTGGAAGAAATAGTCAAAAAAGAGGAAAACAGCAAAAGATGTAAAAATCAGTAACAGGAAAAAAAAAAACAAGGCAAAAATTTAGGAAGTCAATACTGATAAGACAAACAGGAAGCAAGAAATTGGTTGGGAAGGAGAACGAGGGGAAAGACGGAGGAGAAGAAGAAGAAGATGATGATGAACAACAATAACAACAACACAAAAACGACATTAACAACAAGAGTAGAACAAGCAGGTGGAAGAAGAAGAAGAAGATGATGATGAACAACAATAACAACAACACAAAAACGACATTAACAACAAGAGTAGAACAAGCAGGTGGAAGAAGAAGAAGAAGATGAAGAAGATGAGGATGCTGCTGATGATGATGGCACAGAGGAAGTAAATAATCAGTTTACTGTGAAGAAGGGTTAAAAATAAGAGGGAGAACGCTTAGAAGAATAATAACAAGAAGAGCGAGGAGGGACAAAGAAGGACCAAGCTAGAAAAAACAGTCGAAAGCCTTTCAAGAAAACTGTCTACGCTAACGCAATAAATAGAATATTATAAACTTGTTTGTCATCTCTATTCTCGGTTTTAAAATAACCTTTCAAATTATCACAATATACTTACAGACAAAATGCGAAAAGACGTCTAATAGCAAACCAGTTGACCAGATGCCTGCTTTAAAAATTCTACCTCAGCGAGCTATGACCTTAACTTAGTCGGCGCAAACCTGTGTTATTCTTAAAGAATAATGAATGTAGTTTTTAGAATTGTTCTTGTCACTTCTCTTTCTGTCATACACCTCATAAATGAGGCCTTAATGATGATAGCCGACTCTTTTACTGCATTAAGTATTTACCCGCAAAGAAAGACTACGACTACTCTACTGAATAGCTTAAGGACAACTTCATAAGTATAAAGTAAAGAAAAATTGCGATGTGTCTAATAAACGAATTTTGGGGCAAGACGTAATTGCTCCAACGAGGACTCAAGCCTCTTAAGTTTTCTAATTAAAATCAATTAAATTAGTTTTTAATAGCTTGGATTTGTTTGTCTTTTTTCTTATTCTTTCTTTAGATTTTTAATTCTGTTTTGCTTTCTTCGGATAGAGATGGTTATTTAATGTTAACTAGTTTTGTCAAAAAAGAGTTGGTTTTCTGCATTGAAAAAAGAGTTCCATAACGAGTACAAATTTTCAACAACAAAAAAAAATAATTAAAAGATGAAAAAAAGATTGAAAAAGATTGAAAATGAAAAAAAAAAAATCAAAATTCAAACCGTATAGTCGATGCAAATAAGTTCTCTTTGGCTTTTAAAAAAAATATATGCGCAAAAAAATAATACCAAGACTTTATAAAAGTGCTTCATTGATGAAAAGATTATATAATGAAAATTCTAGGTGGCAGAACTGCTTTTAAATGGTTTTTTCGCCTGTGAACCAATGAGAAAGCCAGAAATGAGTTATCCTATAAAGCAATCAAAAATCTCGAAAACGTACTTGAAAGGTATGATATTATAATTATAAAGCTCCTGTTCTGGTTTCTTGGCCCGTTAAGTTTCTTARRTCTGGATGAACGCGCAACCTTGAAAAAGGGTATTTTGCAAAGCACAAAAAAATACAGCTTCCTCAATGGTTATCATAATAATAAACTTGCAAATAACACTTCAAATCGTACCGTGCACCTACTTCATCTATCTACGCCAGCACAAGGCTCCGCCTCTGTACTCTGTCGTGAGCAGCGCTCACTGCTTCCTCAATCGTAGTGAATGTCTCC